TGGAGGCAGGGGGTGCAGGAAGGGGGTGGGGTGGGGTGTGCTTTGCTGAGGGGACTGACCTGCTTCTGCCTGGGAGGTGAAGTAGAGAGCTGGGAACCCCAAATCCGAGCCCTGCCCTTGGCCCGGAAGCGCCCGTGCTGTGGTGGAGCATGGGGAGATGCCTCGGTTGGAGCACCTCTCCTTCCGGAGATGCTGCGAGCGTGGGGCTTGGGAGACAAAGTTCGCACTTAAAAAATTGTTAGCTTCAAAATAAAAAAAGATCAAAGTAGCGCTGATTTTAAAAAGGGAGAGAATTAAGATATCTTTAAATAAACTACCTTTAACCTGAGATGGAAGAGTGCTGGGTAACTGGGGAGGAAGCCAGGAAGGAGAGCGATGTTGGGGAAGTGTCTTTCTCCTGGGACCACTGCCTGTAGGCGCAGCACGCCACATCTACCATGGCTAAAGCACGACTACAACCACTGTCTTGGAGGTGTGGCTTCCCTTGAGGTCTAAGATCTGGTCTCTGAGGCCCATTATCCTTGAACTGTTGTGCCTGGGAGGGTTCTGTGGGATACAGATGATCCTGGTGGGCCTTCTCTCTCTCAGGTTTGGGCTGTGCGCACCATCCACTCTGGCACAGCAAGTGGGGCTTGCTGTGGGTTGTCACAAGGGTGCAGGAAGCTCAGCTGCAGGGCGGAGGTTTCAAGGGAGGGTGCCAGGGGGATGGGAACAGTCTTTTTTCAGTGGTGCCCAGTGACAGGACAAGAGGTAATGGGCACAAACTTGAACACAGGAAGTTCCATCTTAACATGAGGAGGAACTTCTATACTTTGAGGTTAGTAGAGCACTGGAACAGGCTGCCCAGGGAGGTTGTGGAGTCTCCCACACTGGAGACATTCAAAACCTGCCTGGACGCCGTCCTGTGCGACCTGCTGTAGGTGACCCTGCTCTGGTGTGGGGGGGGGACTAGATGATCTCCAGAGGTCCCTTCCAACCCTGACCATTCTGTGATTCTGTGTGCAAGAGTTGCAGGAGCGGCACTGCGGCCCCAGCGGGGAGGAAGGAAAGTGCTCTTCCCCTTTAAGCATCCACTGGTCAAGGTGGCCAAGGGTGAACTTGTCAGTGGGCAAGAAGGAGATACTATGGAGAGAAGAGTTTATTTATTTATTTTTAAGAAATTAGTTACCTTAACAAGCATGCCTCAGGACTGTGGCTGCCTGGATCGTCTCTCCTGATTGCAGCTATCCAAGCTATTCTCTTTGTGGGTAAGGGTCGTAGGAAGGAGAAGTGCTGCAGAGAATGCTCGTACCCATGAGGTGTTAGCCTGGCTGGGGATGGTGGAAGCGCCCATACAGAACTTCATGGGGACTGATCAGCGCTAATGCCTTTAACCAAGGCCGTGACTACCCTGAGGCAGGTCAGTGAATGGTACTGGATGAGTGGGATGAGTCACTGCCTAGTTGCTACAGGTGACACATTCGCAGGTGTCCTTGGTGGAGGGTATAGCTGCCAGGCTATAGACCAAATGACCCATGAAGGGCTCTACAGCCCCCCTTGTCCCCTTGGGAACTCCAAAACGGTGTGACACCGACTACATTTACCATGCTTATATGTGTACAGTTGAACTTCTGCTATCGTCCATCCTGTACAGCTCACCTTCGGGGAAATGCATTTGCTAACTGCGCCTGGAGCAGCCGAGGCAGGGGGGAAGCCCTCCCACCCATCCCCAGCTGAGGCTTTTTAGCTGTGAGCTTGGAAAGAGTCCAACACACCCACGCTCATGTGATTAAAACTGGAGGGAAAAGCACACACTGTGATGCTCGTTCTGTCTAGCAAGGGCTGTGGGAGTTGCGGGCTGGGTGTGAACGGCCGGCAAGCACGTCTCCTCGCAGTGGGGCTGGAGAGCTGCAAAGAGCTGGAGGCATTTTAGCTTCATTTTAGCATATTTTTTTTTTTTTAATGCACTTTGTTTGTAGGCGGTTCCCGAAGGACTGTGGCCAGCAAGGTGTTTGTATCGGTTCTAGGATGCTGGGACCACAAGGCACTACTGCAATACACTTTACTGATGTCATCCGTTTGATGTAACGGCTAATCACAGGATCGATAAAAAGACATTACCTTGCACCTGTGCCCAGCCTCTGAGCTAGGGGGAACTCAGCAGGGGGAATCCAGCGCTTTTCCCCAAAAAACACCGTTGTTCTGATCCACATCTTCATCTTCCAGCATCGAAACCTTCCCTGTCACTTTGCCTCGTGTGTCGGTGGAGCCCCTG